CGGGGTGTTGGTGGCCCACGCCTTTAATCCCAGCACTCAGGAGGCAGAGGCAGAGGCAAGCGGATCTCTGTGAGGTCGAGGCCAGCCTGGTCTCCAGAGCTAGTGCCAGGATAGGCGCCAAAGCTACACAGAGAAACCCTGTCTCGAAAAACCAAAAAAAAAAAAAAAGATTGTCAGTACTTTTGGGTGCACTTGCTTATGAGTGTGGGTTAAATGGCTTGTTTTGAGGTGCTTGCCTAGGCAGAAGTTGCTCATACTTCGTGTGGTTTTGTTTTGTGTTTTTATAAAACATGGTTTTCCATGTTCTAGGCAATTCACAAAGGTAATATGGAAAGAACAACACCAGACTTGTGTGCCTGGAGACCTGACTTCCTCTAGCTGTGGTGCTGGTTAGAAGACCGGTCTGATTGTGTTAGAGAGTACCACGTTCTTTATAAGATTGTAACAGTTTATATACAGGGGTGTCTGGGAAACTACAGTTGAGGGACTTCCTTCCAAATACCTCTGCTTCCCCATTTGAGTGCTTCCCCATGGATGGGTGTGTGTGTGTTTGTGTGTGTATGTGTGTGGATGATGAGTCCAGGTGACAGAAGAGGCTGGAGGTATGGGATTTTCCCCTTTAGCTGGAGTTACAGACAGTTGAGATCACATGATGTGGGTACTGAGAACCAAACTCCAGTCCTCTGCCAAAATTACACACCTTTTTTTTTTTTTTTTTTTTTTTTTTTTGAGAAAGAGTTTTTTTTTGTGGATTTGGGGCCTTTCCTGGCACTAGCTCTGGAGACCAGGTTGGCCTCGGACTCACAGAGATCCGCCTGTCTCTGCCTCCCAGGTGCTGGAGTAAAATAAAAGGTGTGCGTTACCAACACCCAGAAAAACTATACACTCTTAAACATTGAGCCATTCCTCCAGCTCTGGGGACAACTCTTTTTCAAGGGTAATTTTGACAGCATCTATCTGCTGAAGGGTATTCCCTTCTAACTGTGTTCTAGGCATTTACCCCACAGATAAACTTGACTGTGCAGAAGGAAATGTCTGAGGATAATCATTGTGGCATTGTCAGAGAAGAAGGCAGGAAACAAGCTCTCTGTCCATTAGAAAGGTCACGTTAATCATGGCACAGCTGTACAGCGGAAATCCTTGTAGCCCTTAAAAGACAGGCTAATCTCTATGTGCTTATAGGGCATGCTGTCTGAGG